AAAGTTCCCTCTGACTACTGTAAAGGGAAGACATGCAATTACAGCATTATCTTCTGTTCTACAGAGCAGCCTTTTATATTTTTCAAAAGAAAAAGAATCAATACAAAAATGTTTCACATGGTTCATTTTTCAGCTCAATACCAACAATGCAATTTTGTTGACAATTATGAACAATCAGTCATCTTGGATGGTACATCTTCTGTCGGCCAATCAAAGACCGCAATCATGCATTATTGCTTACAGGTTTCTTTTCAGAATTGATTGGCGTTTTTCTACCCTGCGGTAATCATTCTAAAATAAACTAAATTTGCTGATCAATTTGGTCAACTAAGTGCAACACTTATTAATGTTTCTAGTATTACAATAGGGTTTTGTGTTTTCTGAGCCATTAGCCATGAGTGACTTGCCAGACGATACATTGATCCTTGAGCTAGCTACCTTGTAAATGCACCAGCAATCATATCAGAAAAGACACACACATCTTCCAAATCTCAGTGTATGACTTGCATCAAAGTGTCGGTATGAATTACTGTTTTATTTATAGTGGTACTTCAGTCAAACAATTCCAGACAGTTAAAGATATACAAGCTTTCCTCTTTACTGCATGAACTTGAAAACAGAAACATCATTGTTTCTACACTGTATTACATAATTTAACCATTAAATGATATAACCTGCATTTTAAATAAAGACTTCAAATGGGGAGGGACCTGCAGTCAACTAATGTCTCACAGAGTATAGGGGAGAACAACTGCATTTATACAGTATCCTTTGAATTATCTTTCATCATAATATACTGTACAATAAAGTAAAATATTGAAATTTAGGAAAGTGACTGCAGGAGTTAGTAGTTTTGTACCTTATTGCTTTATTTTCATTTTTGGAACACTTCTGATACATAAGGAGAGTTAATGAACTAAAGTATTTGCAGGAGGGAATAATTAGTGCTGGTACATTGGTTAGATATGACTGACATTGTATTCAGTTTAAAATACTTTTATTAGAGGATTAAATAACAATGAGTATACTGTAGGTCACATTTATCATTTTTATATTTTGGCCACAGCAAAAATACTGTGGTATTTCTGGTGGTTTATGTTGACCTTTTGCTTATTTTTGAATGAGAAAGTTTATCCATATACATGAGTATATATATGAGTACATACTGTACTCATGTCAGTTTAGCATGGGTAATATTTTGTCAAGTCTATATATCATTAATTAATTATGGGTTTTGGTCCAGTGATTTCAAGCAAAGCTGAAGGTTTTTCAATAGAGGGCACTCAAAAACCAAGAATCCTTGTTTGCCAAACAGTGTATATTTTGTATTTGAGAGAGCTACAGTCAATGAATCTTGATAATGTGAGAGCCGGGCTACATAATTCACCCTGATAGTCCTTATATTGTGCCAGAGCACTATAAATCTGATCTGGGGACATGAATATGCAGCAGGTTCAAATCCATCAATTTAAAAGCCCCCTTTTCTTTCAAGAGGTTTTTCGCTTTTTTCTTACTAACAAATAGAAGTGATTAAGAATGACTGACGTCAGTACATTTCTGGAAGTGTTACACCAATAATCACACTATTGTATACATCAGGTATATTCGTGCATTTTTATAGGAGAAAATAGCAGAAAGTGATCATGGGTATTTTGTACCCCTCAGAAAGGTTAGGCCTGCAAATTTGTATGTGTTAATTTAACACAAATTCAGAATTTGTATAATGAAGAAGAAATTTCCAGCAAATAATGGAAGAAATTGCATTAGCACAAGCTGATGCATTTGGAAATTGCTTGCTACTTTGCCAATGATTACTACTTTACCCAAAGCAAGTGGACAACAATGATAGAGAAGGATTGTGGGAATTATATTGGCTTTTGGTTGTCCTTTACAGCTAAAGGATAAATGGTTTTAGATATTGTATTGCCTGTGACAACATTTACAGTAGATTATTTGCTTACTAAAACAGTGCCTTTTGGCATCGTGTTCATGAAGAATGTCCATCTCCTGTTTTACTTTTTAGATCATTGCCAGTCTCAGATGTGTGTGCTAACACTCCAGAAAAAAAGTGACAGGAAACTTATATTGGTTGAAAGCAGAAACAATTTTAGGCTATAGTGCACACTGAAAAAGTACTATGTGAACAATATCCATACAAAATAGTCAATGCTGTCTCACTAAAATATAATACCTTGCAGTGTTTCACAGATTAATGGTGAGTAGCAGAGGTTGTACTGCACTAAACAGGAGAGACAGAATAATACGTTAAAAGGCAAATTAAAGACCTGTTGACATGCATAGGGTACAGCCTCTTTACAAGACAGCTGCTAAATGAACGCTGAGAGAGATGATGAAATAGACCAAATTATTTAAATGAGAGAAATAAAGTCTTACTAGTCTAGTCACAGAGAATTGATAAAGCAGTGTACTTATCTTCCTTATTTCTAGCACTTTGTCTATGTCAATGAGTACATTAAGCCTGCATAACTGCTTGTAGCCTATCTGCCTGTCTATTTTTCAATGCTTTATATGGGTCTGTCAACAGGGTATGATTGCAAAACCCAAAAATTATCACTTCAGCCTGAGAAGTCCCTCACGTAACATCAGCAGTACACAATAATGATATGACATTTCTAAATGTTTTTCTGTTACTCAACACGTGCAATGCTTACAAATCCCTCTTTTCTTGGAAATCAGATACATCATGTTTTGAGTAATTCCCACAAAAGGAAATGACCAGAGACTACAGTATTTGCTGGTGGCAGTCTATCCAAGACAAAAGGTTAAGGAAAGAACTTACTAATGTTACCAAGAATTGTTTTGTAATCTTGTAAAAGGCAAGCGCTACACTTACATGCCATTGAAAGAAAATTTAATTGCATTGTGTGAGTCTGAGTAAAGCTTTGTAAACTCTACTGCAAAATATGTTTCCTGTTATTTTTAAGGCTGGGTGAAGCCAAGCTGAGTTTATTATAAATACTGTAGATGATAAAACTCTCAGCAGTATTTAAAAGGAATATGATTTCAACAAGAAATCAAATAAAACTTAATTTAGAAATGTTCTGAAATGGCTATCAATTGTCCCTTGATGAAGGTTCACATGGTTTGCGTGATTTTTTTTTGTTATACCATGCTTTGCCTTCCCCTAGGTACTATGCTTTTTTAGCATGATTTCAGTTTGCTTTACCACATTTTACACAGCTTTATTTTGGTATACAGTAATACCATAAACGTTTATAAGGGGTCTTCAATTATAACTCCAATTTCTCTCCTAAGAAGTCGCAGCATAATGAGAATGTTACATTTTTCAGTGAATGTAACTGAGATCAAAATGAATGCATCATTTTTAGCATCAAGAATATTGAAAGTTATAAGAATCAAAGGCCTTTCTGTGTCAATAAGGAAGAGCAAAACTGGTGAGTCTTTGCCTGTGTCACACTTAGCCCCATAGCCTTTTGGACCAGATTACCTTATTCATTGATTATAGGAGGGTACAGAGATATTGAAGCCCAGGGATGATTGGAGACTGTCTCCATTGGGTAGGGGTGACTGGGGCACACTAATAAGAATCAACGTCTACCTTTTTTTTTTTTACAGCTCTTGTCAATATTGTGCCTCATGGCTCAGGAGTCCTAATTCAAAACACTAGCTTCATAAAATAGCCTGGTCTCTTAAGACACACTGCAGGTGCTAGTTTATTAAGGGAAACTAAGTGTTTAAAAAACTAAGTATTTCTGTACTAAGTTTAGTACAGAAACAGTGTTGGGTGGTTTTATTATGCACTTACCTGGGATTGTCTTTAATTAATTAATTTCAAGTGATGGACTTATTAGCTGCTGACAAATAAGTGAAAAGGGTACAGATGTTTTATATTATAGCTACTGAATTTGCATTTGGCTCAGTGGGTTTGGAGGTCGAGTGGGATAGTCTGCCAGGGCCCTGCTGGCTCCTCGAGAAAGAGGTACTGTACCACAGGCAATTCTATGGTGCCTGCAGGTTTGACACACTGTAGGTGAGTTACAATATGTTTCCTCCTCCTATCAATGAGCCTACTATACTGTACAGTACATCACCACAGAACTTGTAGCCTGTCCAGACAGGAATGGTGTGATGTGAGGGTTTAGTTAAAATACAACTTTTCTTAATTGAATGAACAGCACTTGCAGAATAAAAGGACAATACAATGTAGGAAATACAATACTTACACCTGGAACTCACACTTAAGCTTAAATATTATATAATTAGAGCCAAATGTAATCAATGACTTCTCTGATGCGTAACTGTGTACAAAAGCAGTCATGGAAAACTTATATTATATTCCCACTGAAATGCATTGCTTTTCACAACATATTAATTTGATTACTTAGCTTTTGGTATAATACAAGTCACAGATCCATTTCAATAACGTTTTTTCGATTAGGCACGAAAGTTTAAGCAACCAATTATTGTGCTCTAGAATCTCAATGTAAAAACGTTTGTCATGCTTTTGCAGAATGATGTACTACCAACATCCAACTGTTGAAAAATACCACGATTCATATTTACCATGCTTCTTGATGGCTAGTCACACTTTAAAGGTGTACAGTATTATGTATAAACTTAAAAAATGGAATTATGACCAAATAAACCGTTCAAGAATAGAATGGATCAGTTACACTGCAGCCTAAAACTACTAACACATTCAAGATATGGAAAGCTGGTCCTTCTTTTTTGTGTGTGCTTTCAGCTACAGCAACAACAACAACGGATGCACTTAAATTGTTCATGAAGTATTCTATAAATCGTGATCTTAAGATGTATTACTAAGCTTAATGCCGTCCATTCTACAGTTTCTATTGGGTGATCTGAAAATTATAGTTGCTATGGAGAAATAAAATGTTATTTCAGGAGAAGTGCTAAAGGAACAGTCCTCTTCCACTTTCAGCAAGAAATCCGTCCCGGGTATTAAAGATTCCGAAGAGACAGATAGCATCAGTAGTAGGAGGGGATACAGAGACTCCTGCAGGCTAATCCTAACAGCCAGCTTCTGCAGGTGTAACACTGATCCGTCTATGAAGAACTGGGTTTAATCTAGGCAAGCTGTTTTGTGACTTGAGAGTAAACTGGATAATGTGTTACGTTGTACAATGAGCACACATTTATCTTGGACACACAATTTCACATATGACTTCAGCGAATACAGAATAGATCAGCTATTTTGAAGCGTCTTTGGATTTTTTTTAAAAAAAAGTGGATCTCATTACTTCATAATCATGAGAAATATTTGGTTGTCGTCCCGGAGTGTGATTTTGGAATACTGGAAAGCACTTATTTTGTGCCTTTTTTGGATTCAGTATTCTCGAGGGATGCCACATGTCATACGTATAGGTAAGGACAACTTAATATACATGTTTTCACTTGCGTATTTTAGAGGATTTGCAGGACGTTTTGAAATCACACTTAAACTGATACCAAGAAGTCAGAAGACATCCAAATTCTTCAGTGATATTCGAAAAGCAAGTATGAATCTCAGTGCAATTTCTGTCTTTTTGAATGTATGTATACCTGTATATGTAGTCTCCAAAAATAAAACTCTTTCTTTGGGGTGTGCATGAGGGAATATGGACTGGAAAGATTGCTGGAGGAAACTGGACTATTAAAATGCCAATTAACTTATAAAAGCTACCGGCAAAAAAAGTGCGAGCATTTAACGTAAATTGAGGTTTACCGCAACAGCTAACAAATCCTTCAAGTTTTAAGGGGAAGAACTTGGACCGCAAGCCCAGAGTCATATTCGTGCTGTTTTTTTTTTTCATGAGAAGTGTTTTGCTTTTAAGATATCGTCGTGTAGCTTTGAACAGCACTAATGAGCTTGATTCTTGTAAGTTAATAATATTGAACGCTAGCAGGTGTTTCTAGGTATAAACTGAGGAGGTGCGAAAAATAGAGTTGGGCAGAAGGCTATGCAGTTATCGATATTTGTTCGATAAGGACTCGCACATAGTCATCGGTTTCAGAAAACGTTTTATTCTCCTGGTTTTAGTTTAGAATCACATATTTGGTATGCAGCTCATTTTCATCCGTCTTGGAAAAAAAAAACAGAACAGCCTGGAAAAGCTTATCTTTTGGTCAGTAAGACGTTAACACATTTTAAGAGTCAAAGTACAAATGATTCTGCAGATGCTACATTTAACAGGTGATTCGTGGAAGTCTATTTTTGATTTAAAGAAAAGTTCAGGATTCGTGTTCATGGCAACATGTCACCTCCAGTAACTGCCCGTTCCTAAAATGTGACCGTAAATTTGAACTGCAATAGCCTGCTTATGATCTTGTCGAGCTGTTTGGGAATCACGGTGAAAAACGATGAGAAATTTCCCTTTCGGTGACTGGTGATGCGATGAAACATTGTTCGTCTGGAGCAGACAGAAGCTGAATGAAGATCAATACGTTTTTGTCTAGAAGCAAATAGCTTTTGACAAGTGGCTTACTGCCACATGGGACAAGTGCTCAGAATGGAATTAGAAAACATTAACATGAGGAAACGAATCTTAAGATGCGTGACCAGTACTTTTGTTCAACTCTCTGAGCCCTACAGTACCTCCTTTAAAGATACAAGCCGAGCTGGTTTGCGTACTTAAGCAAGTAACAGATTTAGGTAACTTGATAGTAGATATTTAGTCAATTTTACTTCAAAGTTGAAGGAAATTAGGTTTTCTATTATTATTATTATTATTATTATTATTATTATTATTAT